TTTGCAAATTCAGGTGTTTGAGGCACCCAAGACTATAGCCTTGGGTGTTATATTCTTGGCAAATTCAGCAGTTTAAGGCACCCAAGGCTATAGCCTTGGGTGTTATTTTCTTTGCAAATTCAGGTGTTTGAGGCACCCAAGACTATAGCCTTGGGTGTTATATTCTTGTCAAATTCAGCAGTTTAAGGCACCCAAGGCTATAGCTTTGGGTGTTATTTTCTTTGCAAATTCAGGTGTTTGAGGCACCCAAGACTATAGCCTTGGGTGTTATATTCTTTGCAAATTCAGGTGCTTGAGGCACCCAAGACTATAGCCTTGGGTGTTATATTCTTGGCAAATTCAGCAGTTTAAGGCACCCAAGGCTATAGCCTTGGGTGTTATTTTCTTTGCAAATTCAGGTGTTTGAGGCACCCAAGACTATAGCCTTGGGTGTTATATTCTTGGCAAATTCAGCAGTTTAAGGCACCCAAGGCTATAGCCTTGGGTGTTATATTCTTGGCAAATTTTGGTATTTGAGGCACCCAAGACTATAGCCTTGGGTGTTATATTCTTCGCAAATTCAGGAGTTTAAGGCACCCAAGACTATAGCCTTGGGTGTTATATTCTTGGCAAATTCTGGTATTTGAGGCACCCAAGACTATAGCCTTGGGTGTTATTTTCTTTGCAAATTCGGGTGTTTGAGGCACCCAAGACTATAGCCTTGGGTGTTATATTCTTGGCAAATTTTGGTATTTGAGGCACCCAAGACTATAGCCTTGGGTGTTATTTTCTTTGCAAATTCGGGTGTTTGAGGCACCCAAGACTATAGCCTTGGGTGCCTCAAGCACCAGAATTTGCCAAGAATGTAACACTCAAGACTATGGTCTTGGGTGCCTCAAACACTCGAATTTGCCAAGAATATAACACCCAAGACTATAATGTATATTAAGTGTAATTAATAGTAAAAGCTCCTTGGTTACTTACAAAAATAGAGTAAAAATAATCACTTCGGAGAATTAAATCAAAACATTAACTAATATTTTTATTGTTTCCAGATAAGAAACAAACTGGAATGTCAAACAGTCGGCTCGCCAATGACCCTAGAATTAACTATCTTATGGTAATAGAACAAGTACGGCTTCTTTATTGACTAATATTAGCTGATATACAGGCGAAAACCACCAAATTCTAAGGTAGTACTCTGTGGTGTGATGTAGCTAGTGTTATTTTTGTAAATGAGTTAAATGCTCCATGCATATAGTATAGTCACAGTAAACTGCTGCCACCAACAGTCTTTTGTCTTATGGTATGAGCACTAATAATTACAAAAAACCTTGATCAGTATCCACATCTCCAATGATAACCCCAATGTGACTCTTTCAATAATCAGAGTTCATCAGACTGTCAAGTTTATAGAATTTAATCATTTTGTGTCAACAATTAAAATACATTAATACAGTACAGTACCTACTTATCAAGACTGATCTAGGTTGTAGAGGCAACTCAGGTGTGAGGTATATGTATGAGAAATTATCATGTTCACATTTTTTTCACTGTTCTCTGTAATACAGCAGCAGTAATATCTTAGCAATAGGTGGTAATTCCCTGGAACTACATCAGCTGATTATTTTTAACACAACACTGAAATTTTCTAAATAATATACTGCATTTAAAAAAAAATTGTCATAATACAATATTCATAAGAAATGACTGCTTCTTTGAACTTTAATTTTAAAAATTTTAATTATCACTAAAACTTATAACTGCCTTTGTAATTTGGCAAATGCCTTGAAAGTAATTCAATATTTACTGTTAAAGGGAACAAGCAAGTCTTCTCACAACTTACTAATCCATTTGGTCTAAACAGGAGGTAACAGTGTGCTTTATTGAAGAAAATAATATAAATTATCTCAGAAGTTTTTAACACCTGGTGAAGCATAAATGATAAAAAATAAAAATAATCAACAACTTAAGGTTAGCCGAGAGTTATTTCATGATAAATTAATATGCTATGACATTATATCTTCAAATGCCTGAGAAGAAGTTAATAGAATTCAAATACCTTATACTCATTGAAACATTTAAAGACATCTACAAATTACAAATGCAAGTACCTTCAGTCCTTATCCTACAATCATGTATATTTGGTCATGACGATCCGGCCAATGGTCACATTGTAGCTGTCTATGTACAATCCAACACACCATCATAAATTACAATGATATAAAAATACAATGCACTTGCTTTGGATGACAACTCTGTTTCTCACTCAGATTCAGCATGTGACAGGATAAAGTCTCATTTATAATATGAGTGAAGGCTAAACCTGCCTCTTCATATTAAAAATATGGCCAACAGTTATCCAGTCTGTCACACTTTTGCATTATATTGGATATGGCTAACCAGTTGTGCAGATACAAATAGCTCAAAGTATTCAAATGTTTACATTATTTTATATTTAAAGTGGATTGAAATACCATTCCCTCTATCTCAGTAAGTCCTATTTTTGTGTAGTTTATCATTTTATGTAATATATGCTGTAGTAATGATTATCACAACTGACATTTTTAACATTCATTTCTGAATACAAATATTAAATACCCCATTTATGTTAGATGTACTTAAGTAAAATATATAACTAACTGAAAATAGTTTTTAAATTTAAGCAAGAAAACAAAAATAAAACAGAGGCAACACTTACTTCTTTATCAATGTTAAAGTTCAGGTAAAATTAGGGCAGTGGCAAACAAAACTATCCACATATTGAAGGATGGTTCACAGCAATTCCTTGTTCAGCTATTCTCTACTGGAATCACTACAAAATCTATTGTGGGAAGTAATTTTGAACTGTGCACAGCAGTTGAATAATAATCACATATGTAGGGGTTCTAATAATCCTATTGTAACCTGATTCTTTGTTTCCATATATATTTTTACTTATGGGTCAGCAGCGGCTGCATCCAACAGAAATGCAAAGTTTACAAAGTCGTCATCTTGTGGCCACATCAACATTTACAAACTGCTTAATTACATTCCGTCTATGGTGTTTTAGCCTTGGCTGTAGTCTCCAGGTACCTGATTCTTTTTCAGTATTCTGATCATAACTAAACATTAGCTGCAAGGTTCTGGATTGTACATCAGATAAAAAATCCTTACCCATACACAGTAATAACAAATAACAATAAGATAATAAACAATAAAAACTATAATAATTTTCTTTAAATCTTGAATACTTAAAAGCATGTTAATCCTTTTAAGATGTTACAACCTTTCATTTTGCAAAAGACTTCGACTCACTTTGTACACCAGATATGCCTGATTCTATTCCACTGAATGGCCTAATTTCCACATAAGCAAGTAACTGCTGACAGGGCCACAAAAGGAGAGCAAAATCTCATTGTCAACTGATAAATGAAATCTTATCTCACTTTCAAATGATCCATGAAATCTGAAATCTCATGACCAACTGATAAAAGAAATCTGACTAGTAACATTCACATTATGAGAAATTTTATAGTTGAAAACCACACACAGTAATATTTTAATGCAGCTTCTGTAGAACATAATAATACAGTACTAATAAATATGATCCTTTATAAAGTAACTTGTAACATTATTGTGCTCAGCAGCAAGATAATGCCTACAAATCTACTCTCAAGCAAAAATAATTATAACTTGACTGCTTAGTTGTCCAAATTCAACTTTGCTATGAGATTATATAATTGTTTACATAAAAGTGAAACACACAACAACCAAGTCATCAAGAGGAGCATAAAATAATAACTTACACTGCAATACATACACATTTACTATAGTTTAAGTACAAAAGTTACACAGTATGTACACAAAACTAGTTCCAACTCTTGGACACCTCCTGAGGGCTAGCAACTGTACGATTCTCTGAAATGACTTCTTTCTTAAAATATGTGCCTTCATTGGCTGTTACTAAACCTCAAGCAGTGATGAAGAATCTGACAGACATACATGATTGGTGCAGCTGACTGAAAGACCACAATTCTGACAAGAATCCCGGGTGTGTGAAAAATATGGAACCCTGGAGAAGTTATCTGGTCCCAAGTCTTTGTCCACAATATTCATCCCATTACTGCTAGGTTCTAAAATTGGCAAATGAAGGGAAAGAGGGAAAATTTTGAGCAGATTATATATCAATACTTTAAAACCATAGAAACATTTTCAGAATTTCTGGATCCATACATGATCTACCTGTACAGGTATAATTATACAGTATACTGTAGAGGGAGAAACATCTATTTTGATGATATCTTCATGTTTACATTAGATTTACATCATCAATATTTCTGAAACACTTACTGCTCTGCTCAAGCTGCAAGTAGGTCCTGGTTTGAACCCACCTTACAGGTTTTTTAGACACTGAGTTCTTGAAGATCAAATTACACTACGTACCAGCCTGAGAACTTACCCACGGGGGAAGGCCATCTGTTGTGGTCCCTGTGGCTGCTTATTGTGTTGTACTCGACTAGTATCAAATTATATGAAACGTTTCGATATGAATCTGTGTTTCAAATAATATATCAAAATACCCCAGTGGCAGTAGATTTATAGCATAGAAATTACTTGGTGGCTCTTGGGGAATTCTGGGAAAGAAGGCGCGGCAGTTATACTGACATTTGCATATAACATTACCAGGACTCCTCACGCTCTCCAAAAACTATCCCACCATGTGATAATGGATTTAAACTGAAATATTCCAATATTCTCACAAAGTATACTGTAGCTACTCTGCAAGTGCCATTGGAACAGGTTATTAGTGTAATCTCGTATATCTAATGCATCTATGTCTATCCACCCTGTTGATACACATGTACTGTGTTTAGTTGAACATTCTGAAAACAGGAGAACACATAAATGAACAAACCTCAGCACACCTCTCAGCGAACATCCCATTGTGTCGCTGGAAAGAGTATTGCTAAACTGGTGTCACAGTGATAGTCTCAATATCTCCAATACTCTTTACACGACGATGTGTCTCGTGATGCACATAAACACCGGAAGGCATGATAGTGGAACGTGGACGACCACGGGGTGCACGATGGGCATTAGTCCTGGCAATTACTGCGGGGGACTGACCACCTGAGGAAGAGGACTCACCACCATTGTTACCTCCAGTGGCAGCTTCTTCACGTAAGCGAAGACCTAGAGCGCGACTCAATGATCCCTGTAAGTGAAGGAGTCATGTTACAACTAACATAGGGTTAAGAATTCCTTACTGATGAAACATTATAAAATAAACCAAAACAATAAAAATTTGGCCATATAATTAATTAGTTTTTCTCACCAGTTTACTGTAATAAATCTATGTAAGAAAATGAACATTTGAGTTTAAGAGAATATGTATACAGTATATTTAATCATCTGAAAAATACCCAAATTCCAAACTATTTAAATTTAAGAACAATATTACCCATCACTTGAAGCAATTAGTGTGACTCTTAATAGTAACACAACCCATATACTCACAAATTTACTTCAGATTTACTTTTTAAAAAATACTTTACAGAAGAAGTCTTCAATTTAGTAAGAAGTAACCAATATTATCTAACAGCTATGAATTTGAAAAACCCAGAACTTTCTAGATAATAGTGAATATTTCTTAACTATTTTGACAATTTATATTTATCTGCTTGTCTAATTATAAATTTAAATTAGTATTTATGAAAAATTACTGTACCTGTACTGTGTATTATAAGCATCATTTACTTTATTACCAATCACCAGTTAAAAATATAATTTTATGGACACGTGAAGCAGATGGCAAGCGGAACAAAGCATTAGTTATGTCAGAAAACTCTCTAATAATTTAGAAAATCTACGTCAAAAGATCCTCTGGCTACCAAAATATAAACTTAGTCATTGTGGGTGTTTTATTTAATCAGAGTGACATTAATTTAATAAAAAATAAATTTCCTTTTAAGAAACATTGAAAATCTACAGATTATCAGTATTTTTCTGGCATGCAGCAATAATCAATACCATGATTTTTTTTTAATACTGTATTTATTCTCCAAAAGTTCACTAATCCTCAAAAACTTTCTTTAAAACTACACTAAAACAAAAGCTCATGTCATTTATATAAAATTAATCAACACGAGAGACCTGTTTGCAACCCTCTTATGTCAGGACTTGAGTGGTGGATGGGGAGGATAAAGCTTAGAATGGTTTCTTTATTACAATCTAGAAGTACTGTAATTTATTGCAAATCTGTAATTAATCCATATTTTCAAAATTACATAAACTGTACCATCATAGTTAATTATCATAGTAAAAATAAAAGCATAAGGCATTCAGGTGTCTGTTTGTCAGATATAAAAACTCCATATTATAATGAGATAATTAGTGTCTATCACCTCAAATAATACTTTAAAAACATACCATATAAAAAGTTAGTACAGTACATGAGCTGGAATGAGTTGTCTAAGTTACTACCATGAGAGAAGCTACTGTACTTATATCTAGCATCTAGTAGTCTAGGAAGAAATTATATTACTGTGTCATCAGTCGTTGGGTGGATATTTCCTGAACACCAGCAGCTGACAAACAACAGTACCATGGATCTATCTATCCAATGAGCATAATTCTAATGCCCCCAAAATAGATAAATCACTACACATGCTTTCACTATCGTATGTCCCACAATAGGTTTATGAAGCTTATAATATTTACCTTATGATTTATGAAAAAAATAATTTAAATACTGTACAGCAGAATAAAGTACTGTAATGTATTATACAGTATACCGTACTGAAATTACCATTAATTCAATTTGTCAAATAAGCTCTACAAAATATAGTAGTGTTAATAATCTCATTGTCCTAACAGCTTGCCAATTACTATACTGTACTGTACAGAGTCATGTTCAAAAAAAGAGTTGATTCTAAATGGTGCAGTTGGTGTCTGTCTGCCTTTACAGAAGCACAAAACACCCAAGTGACAAAACTGTGTCAATAATCTAATGATTCTTTCCATGCAAGATTTAAAGCACCTAACAGTCAATTGCCAACTGTTCTTCACAAGTATGAAAGAATTCTGCATTTTGAGGAAGATCTTCAGTGTGTGTGTGTGTGTATAATTTTCCTGGAATGAAAATGCTGGATTAGGGATTCCAGAGGACACATGTCATAATGAATTTAAAATCTTTATACACCAGTGATACCAAAACCTGTCACACATAACAGCGTATCTCCAGAAATGTCGATGTGAACTTTGATAAAATAATTTGGTGAAAGAGTCAAAAGAACTTGTATGTTCATCTAGTCTCAATAGTGTTTACTGTCACTGTTTTAACACATTGTGAATTGTCAAGAGCTAGTTATCATGTACTGTAGATGAAACAGGGATAAGTGAGATGTTGGAAGGTCTGGTTCAGTAATGCCAATATATACAGTTGATAAAAGATTTGTAGTCTAAGTGGAATTTCAGTGTCTGTTCATGAGTGTTAGAATGAACTTGAAACCTAGGCACAACTTAGTAACCTGCCTCACTGTCTTGTATGTCAACTGATGCAAAGGCTACTAACTAGCAAGCATTTCGGTAAGGCTCAAGAATACGTAGTTCTGAAAAACAAAATACTTTAGCATTTGTGACTTGGCTAATCAATCTAGTCAAAATTGAAGTTAGACTATTAGCTATGTACAGCAGCAAAGAAAATTCTTAGCTTTAGGCGAAGATTGAGAAAGCTAAAAGATCTGCAATAAGCTCGTTACTTTCCCATTAAAGATTAATGGTTTCCATGTAATTAATGAACATGAGTAATGCAGAGAATTAATGCAAAGCAGATTGAAGAATGGTATATTTTTAATGTGCTAGATACATACCATGAAGAGTTAAGAGTACTGTACAGTATACCATTTTGGTAAACTAAAGAAAAATCTGTGTCCATGAGAAGCAATCAGTTGATCTAAAACTCCAACTACTGTACCTCCAAGCACACAATAATAAGCAACATTTCCCACAGTTGCTAATATACTTCCTACTAATGTTACCGGAAGAAACATTTACCCTACATGAAAGCTGAAGTCATTAATTAGTATCGGCCTCACTGTTAAAAATTAATAATTATTATAATTATTCAAAGAAAACTGGGTGTTTCAAATAATGTTGCTAATCAGTATGTGGTACTTCAACCCTCACTGTGGGTATTTGGTTAATGGCTGCTAGTCTACTTATGACAGAAAGAGAAAGATATCTTCCTGTAAGCGAAAACATTGTCAGTAAACAGTTGCTTCTTAGGAAATCCCCAAGAATGAGCAGCCTACTCCATGTTGTTATATACTGCACTGTACTGCAATGAAACACCAATAACTGTTCTCTGTTGGACATTTCCTCAAGAGAGAAAGTTTAGAAAATGAAATCCTGAGATACTGAGAGGAACCTGTGTTGAATATTCACCACCTTTATCATTCAGAGGACAAACAAGTTTTAATGTACGGGTACTATTAGGTATTATTAGTCTAGAACCTGGTAAATGCCTTTCTCATTAAACTAAGGAACTTCTGATAATCAACTATGGTGTACAATATAAGTAAGTCAAAACCTTTGGTGGTTTTTATATTATCTTGACTATACACAAATACATACCAAAAAATTTATACACAGAGGGTTGCAGGCAGTAAGGAACAGACCAATTAGCAGAAGCCAAGGAATACATACATGCAGGCGAGGGAAGGGTGTCTTCTAGGATAGTACCTGTGAACTCCGCCACGTGCCAAACTTAGGGGATAAGGTGAGACAAAGCTCCATCAGTGGATGCATTAGTGAGGAATCCCTGAGTGTGCTGAAGCTTTTGGTTTACGTCAAAAAGTAAATTTCCCGTCTTCAGACGACTCAAGAATCATAAAAGAATCGACATGGTCATAGTATAATTATTAATACTAGGAAAGCACAAGACAGTCAAAGCAGTGCCTGATGTGACAGAACTGCCCTAATGACAAAAAAGCTTGAAGCATGATATTTATGAATTGTTTAAAGGGATCTCCAAAATAAGAGATTCCAGAGGGTCTCCAATACAGAGTTAATCATCAGAGAGCAATTAGTGCAAAATGTAATTTAAAATCAGTTAACATTTACCCTCACCCTGAAAAAGTAACTTAAGGTACATCTAGCATGGAATTACTGTACCGGTAACATAAAATAAATATTTTTTTCTATATAATAATTATTAAAACACTGTTATCTACATATAAATGCCTTTGGATTTTGCAGGAAGACTAATGGATCTAAAATGTTATACATTTTTGTCAACAATGAAATAAATAGTTCAATATCTAGAGTTTTAGGTGTGAAAAACTAACTTAATACTGTACTTAAGGGCTTGTGAATACTGAATTTTGCAACACTTTGATGTAGTACTACAGGTTGGACCCCGCTAATATAGGACCCGATAGTCCGGCAGCTTCAATGGTTCGAGATGATAACAGTAGGCCTATAAGATACATTTTTCTCTTTGCTTTTTCCGCTAATCTACTTATTTCTGTGTCGCAGTATAACAGTAAACTTGTGCTGTAACACTAACACTTTGTCATAAAGAAGTCCAGTAAGCCTGGACTAGATTTATGCCGATGTAAGTTGTATTGGTACAGTACCAATAATAGTACATTTTATGTATTACTTTGCCTGTTTTTAACCTCGGGTTCAATGGTTCAGAATTTTCGCTACCCGGAACCAGTCTGGTCCCTAGCTTCCTGGATTAGTGAGGTCCAACCTGTATATAAATAATTTCTGTGGCAAATAATTCTGGTAAACATATTCCTAATTTGACATTCTGACTGGGTGCTACTGGCAAACCTTTACACTGGAATAACAACTTCTTCACCATCATCAAAAGCACAATCTCTTTAACATTACTAAGACCATCTCCATCCATCCACACACGTACAAAGTATATACTGTACCAGACTCAACAATAACACTCCTATGCCAAAGATGTCTACAAGTTAGGTTCGTTCTCATACTAGCAGTCACCACTTCTTTTGGTCTAAAAAAAATATGAAAAGAGTGAAGGGTATCCATTTACAATATCTACTAAGATGGATATTATACCAGCCAAAATATTCAGAAACAAAGAGGAAATTATATGTATAGAAGAGTAATTAGATGTACAAGAGAAATAACACAGTGAAACCTCTATATAACGGGGTTGTCTCTCCATATACTGTAATCCATTAGATGGGGGGCTTGACATCTAATGGACTCACAATATAGCTAACAGATTTTCATCTCTACGGTATATAGTTCGCTAGATGGGGGCCTCACATCTAACGGACTTTCATCTCTACGGTATATAGTTCGCTAGATGGGGGCCTCACATCTAACGGACTTTCATCTCTACGGTATATAGTTCGCTAGATGGGGGCCTCACATCTAACGGACTTTCATCTCTACGGTATATAGTTCGCTAGATGGGGGCCTCACATCTAACAGATTTTCATCTCTACGGTATATAGTTCGCTAGATGGGAGCCTCACATCTAACGGACTTTCATCTCTACGGTATATAGTTCGCTAGATGGGGGCCTCACATCTAACGGACTTTCATCTCTACGGTATATAGTTCGCTAGATGGGGGCCTCACATCTAACGGACTTTCATCTCTACGGTATATAGTTCGCTAGATGGGGGCCTCGGACTTTCATCTCTACGGTATATAGTTCGCGGGGGGGCCTCACATCTAACGGACTTTCATCTCTACGGTATATAGTTCGCTAGATGGGGGCCTCACATCTAACGGACTTTCATCTCTACGGTATATAGTTCGCTAGATGGGGGCCTCACATCTAACGGACTTTCATCTCTACGGTATATAGTTCGCTAGATGGGGGCCTCACATCTAACGGACTTTCATCTCTACGGTATATAGTTCGCTAGATGGGGGCTTTACATCTAATGGACCCTTGATAGAGCAGATTTTCCTCTCCATATATGTAGTCCATTAAATAGAGATTTTACCTTAGAGAGAGAAAAGCTAGATATGTAGAAGGGAAGAGAACACACAAAAGAATGTGCCCTAGAAAGACAAAATGACATGAGGAAAGAGAGAAGAAAGGACTATTCCTGAAATGACACAAATAATATGGAAATTAAAAATACACTATACAGATGACAGAAAAGATAGTGGTGCTGCTATGTGAATGTTGCCAGGGATAAGATGCCCTGAAACTGAGGAGTGGGGTCATGCCTCCAACTTTTTTCTCAGAACAAAACTTATCAACTGATCTACTGTATTGTACAGTATTAACCTTAAACAAATTATCCTGCAATGTACTTTCATAAGGATGCTGCTACTATGTGTGTACAACTTTGATTCATTTTTTTAATCCATGGTCTTTGTATATCTTAACACTAAGCAAGGTATCTCATGCCAAATGTGCCACTTACACTCCAAGACTTTTCCATTAAAATGCTCTTACACACACACACACACTCCACCTCCAAGCTTTTAGTACATGTGTGGCTTTACCCAATAATTCTGCCTCTGAACACAATATTAGTCCTGACTACTTAAAAAAATATAATCTTACATGTGACAGAGTAAGAATATTATAACCAGGGGGTCCTTATTATACTGTAAGTGGTTTCGCACTTAAGTGGTCAAATAATTGTGGACCAACACGTAAAAAGTCCCCGCAGTTAAGAGGACTCTAAGGTTGAAATCCGTCCATGTTTGGGAGCACAAGCATTAGGGCCATTAAAATTCCCACCCGCCTCGCATTCTCTTAAAAGTTCATCCTTCTCACCCGCACTGTGCGTGCTCGGTACCAGTCACCTGTGTCCACAGGCATTATTTTGAAGTGCTCCAAGAACTATAATTATCAACTATGTTGTGTCTTTGGTGACATCGATGGACTATTTTTTGTAGCCATCAGTTCCAAGCCGAAGTAATTAGCTATAGGATGGACGTGAAATTAGAAGTTACACGTCGTTAGAAAGGAGGTGAGCATGTCTCAATGAACCACTTTCAATGAAATGAGTGTGTGAATTCATGGTTAGGTAGCTTGTGCCGCATCAACACACTGACCCCAAATGAATTTAAGTATACCTTAAATAAGTTGTAAAGGTAAATAATTTCATAAAATATGTTTAACAAATGTTTCTAAAGTATATATACAGTAACTATTGAAAGATACCAAATTAAACTTTATGAGTGTCACTTACAATGAGATGGTCCCAATTATACCCTATTCCTATTAATTCTTATGGGAAGCAATTCCCCTTTGTAAATGGTTTCATTATTGGTGGCTTTTTTCTGGTCCCTATTAACCACTTATAATGAGGACCCCCTGTATTAATTAAGACACCACATTTATTTTAACCTTTATCTCCACAAAACTCTCAACTTAAGGTCTGGTCAAAGATGCTAACTCCTTGTCATATAAGAGCTGTCAATTTTGGCCTACCAAGGATTTGTCAGCCTCTCTTTTATCACTGATCTGTATGCCTATTCTCACTCATTCAATCTACCTGTAATTTAATTTTCACTTCTTCATCCACAACCTTGTCAAAAACTTCATCACACAATTTCACTTTCACTACTCTATCAATTTTCATAAATCAAAAAACATAAAGCAACTATCAAATATAAGCTTACTAAACCTTGTATTACCTATACTAGATGTTGTACCATTCCATATCAAAGCCTTAAGGCCGTGCATAAGGGAAAGCTATGGTGCTACCTTCAGCATTCTTAGCAAAGTATACAAGTTCAGTATTCTGTGTGTCCTACAATCAAACTTTAAATGCAATATCTTCACACATTTCAATGTTGAACTCATTAACTTTCAGCTTCTTTATATGTTATATTTTATCTTATTTTACCAGGAAGTGAACATTCCCAGAGACAAGCTATGGAAAGCACTATATAATGCATCAAATTATACACCAGTATAGCTATTTCAATATGTAGTTATCACAATGATAATTTAGCAAGACAAATGGAAGATGGTTTCAAATACAATGCTAAGAGTCAATCTCATTCCTCAACTTTCACAAGACAATTTTGAAAGATATGATACATAACTTGTATATAAACTATTCTTTTTTTATTCTATTTTAAGGATATTTACTCTAGAAGTAAAACTAGCAAACAAGGAGAATTATAGCAGACTACTTGGGTAAGTACACAAGCTGACTAGGCACCCTATGTCTCAATCAAAAACTCAACAATTTCCCAATACCTTAGATGGAAGTGTAGGAAATGCGCAAACCTTTTTCTGCAAGGGCTGTACAAGCACTCATCAGAGGAGGTAATGGTGTGCAGCACAGTGTGGCACAAGCAGTAAAGCAAGAGAGCGAGAGAGGATGCTATGTTAGTAAAGCAGTGGTATGTATAAAGTTTGTTTAGTCCATCATGTGCCTGTTGCAGCATCTCTGTTAGTAAGTTCATTTAATGTGTACTCTTTGGGGGTAAAACAAGTGCTAGCTATACATTATCATTCTAGCTAATAAAGGTTACAAAGTGACTAGGGTGGAAACTTAATTAGCTTCCCAAGAATAATCGAACCATATGTATCAATTGTCACGTTATGATTAACCTTTCACAACATCAGCAGTCACCATGAGTAAGGTTCCCTCTGATATTTGACATCACTGCTTACAACATATGCAGCTGGAAAAATTATGTGTGCAGCATTTGATAGACTGCTAGGCAGCCAAAGGCTTAGAGCAGTGATTCTCAAACTGGGGTCCGCGAAATTTTTTTGAGAAATAGTGCGTTTAACGTTTGTGAGAGAATTGGTGATTCCAATTTGCAGGATATTTTGTATTAGGGTTGAAATGAACAAATGCTTTGGACTATGATTTATTCTTTGATTATTGACATTACAGTCGACCCTTTAATCCGGATTTCGGATAATTCGGACAAAATCTGAACGAACTTTTTTTTTTAGATTTGTAGGAATATTACCTACGCGGACCTTAAGCTAAAATGCTGGTCCACCCACTGCTGGGATAAAACACCAGCGTCTTTTTGGTTAAATGTAACATCTCCACCACTAGTGTGGAGGGGGGGGGGATGCAACTTTTAGCTTCAGACATGAAAAATATTTACCATTTACTGCCAGTAAACAATGGAAATGTAAAATATGTACCAATTAGTAATGAAAAGTTGTGCAGTTTCTTCAGCAAATGAAGCTCACCAACTTACAATAGGCTAAATTACCTTACTACGTGTTTTCAGTAGTCTATGTTGAAGTTCTTAGCACAGGCTAACTTATCATATCATATATGGTATAACAGTTCTCATTGATCTACAAAAAATACTGGTAATAAAAACCTTTTTGATATTTCACACTTAATATAATACCCGGTAATCTACTTCACCACCAGCTGTTGAGTATCAGCTAGACGGCACACGTGTTTTTCGAATCGTTTTCAGTTAAAAAACTGTTACATCACATGTATATTTTACCTTAACTGTGCCTGAATAAATATATTTTCGGAAATAAATAGTAGTTTTGCTGAAACGTGATGTATTTTAATGTAAAATAGGATAAAATACATGACGAAAACAAAAGATTTTACCTAACCTTCCGATGTTCAAGAGAAGTTACACGTTTTTTTAATAGTTTTTGGTTAAAATACTGTTATATTACAATGGTATTCTATTCATACTGTGCTTGATATAATGCATTCACGGAAATGTAATATTTTTGCTGAAATGATGTACGTATTACAGTGGAAAGTGGGATAAAATCGTGACGAAAACAATGACTTTCGCTTTCTTTCGTTCAAAAGATGTTACCGTAATCGCTTTTCGATTGGTTTTCAGTTAAAAAACGGTTATTACAATAATATTCTATCCTAATTGACTTGAATAAATACTACGATACCATATTTCTGAATATTTTCATTAAAATCCATCCAAATCATTTTCCTTGTCATCATCTGCAGCACCAAACAGCTTCTCCCAGTCCTCTCCTTGAGCAGGGCTAGAGGGTACGAGTTTTTCGAATCGTTTTCATTAAAAAACTGTTACATCACACGTATATTTTACCTAAACTGCGCCTGAATAAATATATTCTCGGAAATAAACAGTAGTTTTGCTGAAATGTGATGTATTTCAATGTAAAATAGGATAAAATACATGACAAAAACAAAAGACTTTACCTAAGCTTCCGACGTTCTTGAGATGTTATTTTTTTTTTTACTAGTTTTTGGTTAAAATACTGTTATATTACAATGATATTCTATTCATACTGTGCTCGATATAATACATTCACGGAAATGTAATATTTTTGCTGAAATGACATACGTATTACAGTGGAAAGTGGGATGAAATCGTGACGAAAACAATGACTTTGAAATATAATGCAATATTTACCCCTAAATCGGTTAATTCAGACAATCGGCTAAAACGGACACCCTTTCCCCCCTATTAGTCCGAATTAACGAGGGTCGACTGTACTGTATTTGTATGTATCATGGTATATAAGGGGTCCTTGGTTGAAAAAAGTTTGAGAACCCCTGGCTTAGAGGGAACACTGACTATTAGTCATGCTGACTTAAAGGTTTGTTTTATTGGTCAATGATACCACGTAGCACCAAAGCTAAATAATTCCACAATGAATTTCTTCTAAGTAATAAAAGCTTATATATAAATACTAAATTTGTTTTGGTTTAATTAACTTGCATAACACTGAAAAAATAAAAGAATAAAGCAAAATATAAAGAAAGCAACACACATACACTCTCTGGAAGCACAAGTAACAAATCCTTCACCACACACAAACATAAATCCCTACAAAATATTTACACATCATGTACAGTACATATTGACTCCAATATGCAAATGAAAACAGTGCATGTAGTATGGACAATTTGTTTTATGTACACTTAAAATGCAATACTATGTCTGCTACAGATGTTTTATCAACAACAAATGCAAAAAGCCAAGCCGAATATATGCTATACTGTATATACTGTATATCAAGACAGTACATCTTTTCACCAATGTGGAAAATGAAATGCAACATATATTGACTTTGAGCTGCTGAAATGTACCTTGTGTAACTTCCCTGCACATGAACCTTGAGTTACTGTGATGAAAATGCAATCAAGATGTGTGCTGTATGATGCAAAGTGTGTAGTAACCCCAAGAGCACTGGTTGGTCAGGTTTGGTTGGGTTGGTATGAGTGGTGCATGGCAGTGATGGTTTAGTGAGCAGCACAGAGCTTTTGTAATTTCTTTTTTAAACAATGTATCTAAGTACAGTATTGGGTTCTTGTCATACAGGAGATGACACCAATACTTCTTTATGGTCTCAAAGTTAAAAATTCTAGAAATTGAATAATCCAGGATATGAATTTTATCATTTATATCACCGATAGAGAGACATGAACTACGAAGGGTCATGTAAAATTCTTACTACCTTCCAACTTATTTCCAATTTTCAGGAATTCCTTATTTACCTAATGGCTATCTCACTAAACAAATCAATTACTGTACCTTAAAACAAAAATAAGTCTCACTGACAAACATATAAATTGTTTGCATCAATTTTTCTTCAAACCCTCTTCCTATTTTTACCTAGTCCTCAACAACACACTGCAAATTCTTAGACTTTTATTCTGCTACTGATACTAATATCTCATCAAAACACCAAAATTTCTTTAACCCTTTGTTCAATTAAGCATTATGTACAAACCCATGTAAAAGTTTTAAGGTTCATCATTAATTTAAAGGATCATATGACATCACTGATAATTAATGAATACAGATAAACAAACATATCCCGTATTATTCAGATGTCTGCTTACGGTAGTCAGTGCATTCACTCAAGAGACGTGTCTGAGAAAACTGACAGAAGACTGCAGACAATTTGGTAATCTCTAGTTTGAAATATTGTACATTACATTAAAACGTACTGCATTTCTTGTTAATTGTGAAGCTCTGTGATCAAATCAAAGCCAAAGCAGACGAAACAAATATACAGTACTTTGAATATTGTTTTACTTTACTAACTTCTGCTATCCATTCCTGAATGTTGCAAAAAAAAAGTGAGTTACGTATCAATCATACTGAACTGCCGGGTAATATATATCAACCTCATTTTCACATATGACTAATTTCCAAATGAGGCACAGTACACTCCTCACCACATCGGCTGAAGAATAAAAAACAATCAAAAACATTTACTCCATCTGGAAACAGCACACACGCACGCAAGCTCACACACACACACACACGATATACAGAAGTCAAATATTTAGTGTATAATATGCCCCATAAGTAGAATACAAAGTGAATATCACCTGACATTTATATCAAGCAGTGGAACCTAAACATTATCATTCAGACAGAGCTTTAAATACAGTACCACAAGGACCAGAGATCATACTGTGTCAGCGAGAGAAAAAAGTTCCCTGCCACAGCATTCTCATATATCACCAGATTACCCAGCTAAAATTTTTCTCCCTATCTCTTCCTCTACAAGTGTTACATTTTCCTACATTCAAATAAGTCCAAGAAGAATCTTCACTGACATTCTACTTGCTGACTACAGTATTCCCTTTTTTTTACATTAGTGGCCCATCAGAAATTATCAAAACACACGAACACCACAGGAATGCACATTAGTCACTGTATATGTGTGTGTGAGGCTGTTAAATGTTACTCAAGCCAAAATATGCAGAGGTTGAAGATAAATTCAGAAAGTACAAACTGTATAAGCATGGGAGTAAACAAGACAGAAGGGACAAGTAAGGAAAATAATTAAAGAAAGAATAAATATAAATCCCTCACTAAACTGAACAATGTGGCAAACCAGACCAGCCTGTAAATGACCTCAGCGGAAGAGAGAGAAAACCCATTTACACTTCCCATGGTGTAGCTTCTGTATGTGACCCAGAGGAGAGTCTATGACCTAACAGGAGTTAATATGAGGGAGAAAGATAAAAGTAAGAATGATTACACAGTCTTAGGACTTTAGTTCGATCAAACAAGCACCAAACTCACAAGTTAACAGTAAGACAAAAACAGGACATCATATTCCTTGCTGGTAAGAATAAAAATACATGTATTTCACCTGTAAAAAATATTAATTAAAGTTTTTTTATACAAAGTAGAAAAGTCCCAACATAACACTCCTAAGCAGCAATTATACTCTCTATTTTCCATCAGAACAAAGGAAATCTATAGTTGGCTCTCCACAGCCATTCTTTCAATGTGCTTTCTGCAGGATGGAGAGTTTCACTGCTTAAGATACACCAGAGTGGAAAAAACACCTTGTGAGAAAATATGAGTGGAAGTAGAGGGATAACCAACAACCAGGCAGGACAGTAACGTTCTCTTTAAGGTCTGAGTATGGCTAGATGTACGTACTCACGAGTGTGAAGACAGAATTGTGGAAGTTTTGACATGGATTACCTTTGCCTAAGGTAGGTAAATTGCCAATATGAAGTCTGAATAAAAGTACATAATAAAAGTTATCAGTGATAATATTATGAAATGTAAAGAGAATACATATGGGGGGGGGGGCCTCCTATGTTGCCACACAGCAGAGGAATGCATTGAGGATGAATATATCTTACTAATGTTTCATAGTGTATACAGCAGTGTCAGTCAGGTGTTGTTAGATTGAAAAACAAACAAAAACATTATGGATGTGTTAACTGTACTAGTGAAGAAACAGAAGATTAGTCTACCTTCACAGCACATCAGATTTGCTACTGTTAATACACTGATCAAACTGATGAGTCAACACAAAAAAAAATGATGTTAAGAGTTATTCATATTCTTAGAAATCAGAACACCATCAACATCAAACTCTCCAACATTCCATGAAAATTGTCTCCAATAACTTAAAACTTTGAAGAAGACAGTTTAAAAAGCACCATCTACTAATACTATAGATCAAGGTAGTCTAGTTCACAGCTCAGTGTATCTCAACCTCTAACAATGTAACTATAGGTCAGTGTCCTGAACTACTTACTCTTAATGATGCTCTTCTCTTGTCCTTTTCTCCCTTTTCTAAGCCGGTGCCATAACTTCGGGAGAATGATCTTCCCAGACTACCCCCAGAAGCTAATTTCTCCTGCCGACGGCGCTCCATCTTAGCGTACCGTGCTTGTTCATCGAGCTGTTGCCTGAAGTAGATGGGATTCTGATTAATTTTTCAGAAGCTGCAACAAGTATCAAAGGCAACAAAGCAATACTGTACTAAACATGAAAATATTTTTAAAATATGTATACTTCACTTATAAGTAAAAAGCCTTCAACTTATATATAACATTTCTGTACTATAATGATAATTTTTACACTCATGTTACCATAAATAATCTCACCAACATCAACTTTACAATGCCTGGTCAATAATGCAGCAACGCTTTCTGTGTTCAAATTCTGTTTACAAGGCATCATAAATTTGTCCTACTTTTAGAAAACATAAATATGGAGTCTTAATTTTGTCTTAATGGTTAAAAACCTTGATCTTCCCACCTTGCAGGATTCACAAGACCCTCAAGTTCTGTGGCCAGATGTCTCCGAATTATATTTTTGGACTGGGGGATCCCTAGAGCTGTGGCCATTGTGTCGGAAGTGAAGGACGACTCCAGGACCACTAAAGCACCATGGACACCACTGTCTGTTGGCACACAAGGGTAGGGTGATGTATGGTAGGTGGTGGTGATGTATGGTAGGTGGTGGTGATGTATGGTAGGTGGTGGTGATGAATGGTAGGTGGTGGTAATGTATGGTAGAACATGGTAACAAGCTGTAAAGTAAAATAGTGAGAAACTATTCAAGCTTTATGACTATTATACCTGTAAATAGTTCTCTGTTGAAAAGTGTGTCGTCATTAATCAACTTCTCATTTTATTCTCTTTACTAAATAAATTTGACTTATTTCAACAACACTGCAGTAACTTACATATACTTTGGGTAAAAGTCCAAAGCTCTTCATGAAAAATAGGTCAATATAACCATATCAGCATCTATACTAACTGACCAAAACAGATCAATGATAAGAAACTTGATTCTGATAAAACTTTTAAAGCTGGGAGTATAAATAAACTCATGTAGTCATTGTTATACCTCTGGTGGCTAACAGTGTAGACATTACCCACAAGAAGAACATATTCTAACATTAAGTAAACATGTCTATGGATACTTTGAGACCTTTGCCCACTGGTGGTTATTGGCTGCACATACAAGACTCACCCTTTAGGTTGTCTGCATACTCTGCCAGGTCTATGGATCTTGCCCATCGTACCCACCGCATATTTGTCCACACAACTGGGTCAGCATCAATGTGCTCACACTGGCGACGTCGCTCCGCTAACACCTGTTTAATCATGATGATATAGTTTATCACATACAAGGAAGGGTAGAGTTTAAATATATGAAGTGTATCTTGCACTAAGCATTAAGATTTATACTGTATGATGAACAAAACCTGGGAACTGATACAGACCAATATGTTAAATATGGTAATACAGTGATATCCCCGTTAGCCGGAACAATTGGTGCAGAGCAATTCCGGTAATGAGAGATTTCCGGGTAACGAGATGACTCTCTCAAAGCTGGAAAAATATCCCTCATCCCCGGAATTTTCCGCGTAACGGAAAATTTTTCCCAGAATTTCCAGAAAATGCACCTGACTTTCACCTCTCAAACCAAGAAAACAAACTCCCCCATCCCTGGAATTTTCCGGAATATTCCGGGTATAGGGAAAATTGTTCGGAATTTTCCGGAAAATGTGCCCCTCAAAAAATCGTTCCCAAAGCTGTAATTTTCTGTAAAATTCCGGCTATTGGAGAGTTCTGGGTTTGAGGGACTCCAGCCAAGGGAGATATTACTGTACATGTATAACATAACGAGATCAACATGTTAAAACAGACTTTACATAATAGATATACAAAACTGTATTAAAAAATCAAGTAAAATACAACTGCATATGCTATTCATGGGCAGTAAAATACAAACCTATACCACTATTATCCTTACCTGTCTGTCAAACCTAACAATTCTTAAAAGATGTACTCCGTGGATGATTGATGCCTGATGAAACTTGCGATGAACGCCCAGGTGCTTCTCGAGTTCTTTCTTTGTGAGAGCCTCCAGCAGTCGCCCATCCACCAGGTTATTGGCAAAGGCATCACAGTATTGTGGAAGGCCCAAGTCTGGAAGCCACTCAGAGGAAACCCACGTGTGTCCCAAAATTGATATCCGAGGGAAACGACTCAGCCGAGGCTCGCGAAGTTCCTCAATGGCTAACCGAAGTTTTTTGCGGTGCATTGGGTGTGCGATACCAAGGCCTGCTTCTAATTCTGAGTCACTAAGCTCTAAAAGAACCTTTAAAAATACAGAAAGTAAAAATTATGAAAAAGAAACACAGTGATCACTGAATGTCACAGCTTTAAATGCTAATGTTTCAAGTCTTCCATATCTTCTATTTCAGGCAAGCAAAAACATGATCAGAGTGATTCATCCAACAGTTTTCACCGAGTATTTACCTTTCCGCTTCGAACATTCTCAGCACACATGGCACCATACTGAGGCATGCCCAGAGTAACTTCAAGCCAAGCTAGGACAGTTGGAGCTTTCCATCTCTCCAGTGGAATGTGTTGCGCCTCCTCCAGAAGTCTAAGTTTTTCCGAGTAACTCTCCTCGGTCAGGGGTGAGGCACACAGGGATGAACTTGGAGACCACGAGGCACGCTTGTCACTAGCATTACCTATACATATGCCATGTTAGTAACACTTGGGTTAGTTGCAATAAGAGCTAAATTTGCTATTTTGAAAGTGCCTACAACATAGTGCTGTTATGGGACTAACAGTTAGTTGGGGTTTATGGGAAAAAATGCACACATTTTATACTGGCATAATTAACAATGGAAAATGATAGATATTAGAGTAACTATGTAAAGGTTAAAAACAGGCAAAGTATACATTAGAACTAATGATTATACTGTATGAACTGTACCATATACAGTACTATATGCTTCAGTGTATGATAGTACAGTATTACTAACAACTACAGTACTGTATTATAAAAGATATACACAATTAAATATATCATTGTAAGAGATATTTGGTAATATTCAGATCATTCCACACATCACAAACACTTATAAAATGCTACAGTTTTAGTAACACATGAATGGTTATTAATATAATGGGAGCATATTAGTGCGGGCTAAGGCTGTTTGGCGTCTGCATGGTTGAGGGCCGAGGGCAGGTCTTCACAGCTTGATACTCCTACAATCAATCAGAAATTTCTCGTCATTGAAATGTGTCTTAATAATTTACAGTAATTACATATCCAATACTTAACTGTGAGACTTAAGTAATAGCCTGCTTAAATATATACTGTACAGAGTCCTTTTCTTATTCGAGAACTCTAGAGGACTACTATATTTTAGGACGTGCAAATAAAAAGGGGGGGGGGGGACCTATAAATGATTAAGAATAAAATCTGATCATTATCATATATCAAAATGCTGATCTCCAGAAAAGTATCTTAATTGTGGAAATTTTCACGGGATTAAGAAAATATTTTTGCATTGAATCTAGTAAAGAAGTTCAACAGATAAAACAGAAATTTTCCTTATACTAAGTACAGTACTTGCAATGCTGAAGACAAGAGATAAAGTTGTGAAATGATGTCTATTAAATGTGATTTTGGGATCAATAATCCACATAAGGATCTTTTGTCCTCAACTGGATTTCAGTAAAATTACTTAACCAAACGACATCTCAATAATTTTAATTACCTTCAAACGCTAATTACTCGCCACCTATGATTTTTTAAGGTCACTTTTTGGTGTTTATGTGTTGTTATGGGTGTACTTAAGTAGACATATTAAACTTCAATTCTGAGAAAGTAATTTTGGATATAAGGGATTAGCCTTACTGTTTCACATTTAATCTTACCATCATATAATGAAGCATCAAGAGCTGCTCGCTTCTTCTGTCTGGCAAACACTCTAGAGATGGACCCCCAGGTACCACCACTTTTATGGCTCTTACGTGAGAGAGTGTTTGTACCTCGAACTTTGGATGTTTCGGCCGCCTCACTCAACCTTTCACACAATTGTTCAGCTGAACGACTCAACCCTCCTGCACTTGCACTACTGAAAATTTAGAAAAAAGTGTACAGTAATTTTAGCTTTATCAAATACCTGATTAATAATAGTTTATCCATTTAAACTAAAGACTATTACTTTAGTTTATGAGAAAATTCACTATAGTTCTGTGATGATCAGTCAAACTTCTGAATAGCTGCCATAATCTGAGAGGGAGAGAGAGGAGTAGAGACAGAGACACACACACACACACACACATTCAATTTACCTGTTTGCAAGTCCACCTACAGCTGGAGAATTAACACTGGCAGCTGTGGAAGTGGGCGTACTAGTAGGGGTGTTGTCCCCACCCTGGTCCTCCCGTTTTAGGCAAACTGGTGTGGCATAGAGGGGTGAGAGAGAGGGGGACTCCTTGGGGGTTCCCGCTCCACCTATGTGGTTGGGCAGTAAATGATTGGTGATAAGTCACTACTTCTCTACTGTACTATGGAGGACAACAAAGAGGGTCAAATGGATAAATAAAATACATATACCTGTATGTATTACTTTATACAATACATAAACCTGTATGTATTACTTTATACATGGTGATGAAAGTGTGGATGTACATGTACAGTATGTATACAAGTGAAATGTACTGTATATCCATGTGTTGTGAGGAGAGAAATTTCACGAAAAAAATAAATATTAATTTATCATTTTAAGCATTTAATAGGAATTAGAAACTAATCAAATATGACAGAGCAAGCAACAGAGTGAGAAAAGGAGAAGAACTTCAATACCTGCATAACTACAGTATTTTTGAAGCTACAGAGTGGATATATATGGAACAGAGAATACTGTATTTCTTACATGGTACTGTATCTGAAATGTGTGTGTGTGTGTGTGTGTGTGTGTGTGTGTGTGTGTGTGTAAACAAGAGAAGATCAGGTGTACTGTATCACAAAACACTGATGCAATAACTTTTAATATATTTTTATTATTTTTATGTCATCAATTTTAGGTATAGTATTTAGGATCTGAAACACCCTTAAGGATAAATATTAAAGAAAAAACAAAAAGATACACAGCTTCGTGAAATGCAAATACTGTACACACACACACTAATAAACAAACACTTATGAGACACAAATTACATGAGGAACCTAGCAGTGGTGGTTCATGTGGGGTAACCTGACATAGCATTCCATCAATCAAAATGAAACACAGTGACTGAACTATCCTTTGAAAACAAGTGCACACAACAAATCTTATGAAGGAACAAGTAAACATCGGAAAGTTACACCAAGATGCAACACATAGGAAATAAAATTACTGTACACACATATTGATAGAATAAGCTAAGAAATACTGAACTTCATGACATACAGACAGATGATGTCAGACAATGAACATGACAAAATTGATCCGACTGTCACAAATTACCCATCATGCTCTGTGCTGGCTGACATTTACGACAAAATAAAAATACAGTAACGTGCAGTTTGGATGACAAGTCTAAGTGGGCAGTGAGTTTTAGTTCAGTCATATACAAGCAGATAGACATACCATTTCCTCAAACAGTCTCACAATTCTCCAGTAAACATTATCAAGTATCATTTTACTTCCTCATACACTTAACATTACTAACTATAAGGATCAGTTCATTTTGATAGTTAACATGAAATTTGCTAAGATAATGTCCTAAGTCAATGTAAACAAAATATAATGCCATCTTGATTGTCTAGTACCACTACAGTATCTTCAAGCTTCTTAAATAACAAATATTCTTTATCATCTCAATCTCTGATTATATAAGATGTCAGGTAAAAATATCACATACTGTACGTCCTTAAGAGGAAATTTGTGGGTATTATTAAATTTTTCTGTGTGAGTGAGCAAGTCCATCACTGAATGTGCACTAAAACTGGCTGGGTTGGTACCAACACTCATACAGTACAGTGTTTATAATGCATATACCATTTTATGCAAACATGCAAAGTGCTGTATGTGCATAAGACCTGATCCATCCTACCCTTACCTTGTCAGCCTAATGTTTTACAAGTTTAAAGATATAAATTCAAAGTCAACACGAAAAAAAAAAAAAAAAATATTGCGCATATGCCACCTCTTGATCCCAGTAAAATAATCACCTACTTACTAAAAATTTCAAGGAATTTTACCAACTATCTTGGGAATAGATACGGCTCAGAGTTCGAGATCCCAAATAAAGAATTCTAGATAAAACATATTTTGAACAAGGAAGTCACGAGGATTTAACATCCACTTTGCAGTAACCGGTACTAATGATGGAACACAATTCTGAAAGAGGACAAACTAAGGAACCTTCTTGTAAAGCTTCATCAAAACTCAGCCACCAATTGTAAAGAAATGAAAGAAATACAATGTTGACCAATTTCACCAATTGATGGACAGACAAACAATAAACCACAACAAAGGTCTCCTAGATGGACTAAAAACTATTTCAACTTTATTTAAGGATGTTTAATGAATGTCTTTAAAGTTTCAAGAGTAAAATGGCAGAAAGTTGCTCACAGGACTAGGAGAAGGAGTACAACCTGCTCCCCTAACTCGGCTTGTAAACCACAACTAGGGCATTACTAAACTAAAAATCTGTCAATATCAACATTGTATCCTGTATTAATTGTTATAAATTCGTAATATTTTATTCTCAATGCATAACAGGTGGCACCCCTACTACCAACATAAACAACCTTGTGTGTATAAAGTCGTTTCAAAATGAACATCATGCCAGACTTGAGAAGCTACATCTCTGCAAGCCAAACATGCTAATTACTTTTATCAGGTATTCTCCTCTCAGCCCAAATTTTGAGGAACCAACACTAAACTAGGCTGGAGTGTATTTGAGGCTTGTGATACATGGATTCTCACAAATAATGACTAACTGTGGATATAAAAACTACATAAAAGTATTATTTAATTTACCGTACTTAAAAAAGTTAATGAAAAAATACAATAGCTGTAAATGAGCCAGATAATATAATAATTCATGCACAACTAAAAAAGTAATTCTCAAGTTCACTGGTGATGCCTAGTCCTGTGTCTTCCTCTAAGCAGTATGAATGCCTCTACTGTGTTTTGTCTTTGGAAATTTGACTGTTTCAATATCTGACAATACAGCAGTACAAAATAAAGCCTACTTGCAAACTATGTTCTGAACAAAGTTTTCCAAATACAATATTAATAATTTAAATACCTGTTCACTCTTCAGAGAACTATACTGTACTGTATATAGTTAACAATCTTCCTTTTCAATGATATACCAATACACTGTACATCAAATCTTGAAAGGCAGAACTCTATAGCAAAGTGCAAAGCAACAGAAATATTACAAAAATTACCCATGCAGAATATGTAGAACTACCAAGAGAGTAAGGTACTGTACCACAACATCTGACAGTGCACATCCAGCACTGACAAAAAACGGGATTCACTACAAAATCTATGTGGTGACGTACATGCATAGTAGAAGTACTGAGAAACAGCGGTGGCCGAGGAGCAGACTGATAACGTATCACAGTCCAAAGACCCTCGCTTCACAGTAATGGTGGGCGTGCCTAGGCGGAACGTAGAGAATGCTCAATTATAAGAGAGGGAACAACAACATGGACAACAACATAATCACCTCGGGTGGGATCCAGGGGGGAGGGGGTTAAGCCACAGACAGCGTAACTTCCATTCCGCATTTATGGAATCCATGTGAATTACTCTAATGAATACAATGAAGCACACTGGGGGTGACAACTTTTGCCAACAGGAAAGTACAATATCTATCTAACTATCTATTTATAAATCTATTACTCTATATCTATCTAAAGGTTAAATTTCCCGGTGCTGAAAATAAGGTAAAGCATGCGGAATGTTTCTCAAACATTTTGGCTACCGAGCATAAATATACCCTTAAAAAAATTCAAATATAATGATTTGGTTGAAAAATAAGAGTGGCTGCCACTTGGTTGCACTAAAAGATACAAATATGTGCAGAGACTGAAGGTTCTTCACCAAGTAGAACACAACACAGCACACACAATGATGAAAAACAGGAGGAGGAGGATATACAAACAGATAAAAGAGGAACAATAAATACTGCAAGAAAAGAGAATCACTGAAGGGAAGAAATGAGAACTACTAGGCCAACAAGAGGGCAGTAGTGTGGCTATTGACTAAAGAAAAGAACCAGATATATGAGAAAGAAAAAAAAAAAGATTTCTCCCCCATAGATGACCAAAGCCAACCAATCTCCCACCTTGAAGCTTTTCCAGGACATAAAAAAAAATACAAACCTCATAAAGTATACACCTATGGGCGGGTTAATCAAATCACAGCTAAAAAAAAAATATTGCCCGAGCGGCTAACGAGGCGATCAGTAGTGAAGAGGATAAAAGTAATAGCTTGAGATAGAAATTCAATAACTACTTGCATTCTTGTCACATCAGCAGCTATCAATGCAAATTATTCCCTAAGTCCTTTATTTTTCTTAATAATAATAATAATAATAATAATAATAATAATAATAATAATAATAATAATAATAATAAATAACAATACGGTAATAATAATACAGTATTTATAAGTTCTTTTCTTCATATTCTACATAATTTTTCTTATTACCGTATGCTTTTCTGAACACATCTCGAGCTGAGGAGAAACAAATGATAAAGTGTATACAGTACATCAGTGGCCATAGAGATGCAGTACTGTACTGACCTCTCCCACAATGGTTAAAATAAAATGCAATACCAAGAAGTCTGCTTATGTAATTTTATATCCAAGAGGACTTAATAAAGCAGGACTGTGTGGTGTATACTGGGTTAACTGTTGATGGGTGCCTTGCTAGGTGCGTCAACTACTGTACAGTTTAAGTGGTGATGTATACAAATAGTGTGATAGGTTTATTATCTACACTGATGAACATACATTTAGGGGTAATCAGTGTTAATAGTTACTGTCATTATTCATATCCAGATTATTATATTTGAATTTCTTTTTCTTTTCTGTCATCCACTGTTTTGAAAAATTAAGATGAGCTAATGTCCTGTATATATGAAAAGATTCAACTGATTAGCAGAAACTCCATCAAAAAAGAAATTAATTAAGATTTTCAACAAGATCAATCCTAAAGATTAAATTGTGAGAAACATCCCCAATGCTAAACATGGACTTCCTTCCTGGACTTGACAAATTTAATCTTACCATTGTATTTTGAAGTACAGTATAGTATTTGGATACTTCAAATACAAGACAATACAATACTATACTGCAGGTACAGTATACAGTACATGTGATGATGTATTAGCACTAAAGACTATACTGTATACCCAGTAATATCACTGTTGTATATCAATCTTAAAATATTTATCTCTCTGCATGATTTAACTGGTTCCTTTTCATTACTGTACTGTGTTACTGTACAGTGTAACTGTTTCAATTACTTGCTTCCAAAGTCTATCTATTAATAAAGTACATTTCAGCCTCCCAGCTTCCTAACTGCTAAAGTTACCGCAGACATGTTACCTAACTGCTGTGGAAAACATTAAACCGTGATAATCTTACTTTTCCTACATATGTACAGGGAGTTCACTGACTTACAAACAGGTTTCGTTCAATGGCCCTGTTCTTAAGTCAGAACAGTGTTAATTCCATAGGTTAGGTTAAAACACAAACCTGAACACATAAAACATTAAAATCCCATAAATAACAAATAATGTAAATACTTGTAAATATTGTAAATATTGTGATGTTAAACAATATAATATAAAAAATTTAATTCTAATTGCAGATTCTTGTGATGAATATACGTACAGTATTGGGATCTCATTCGTAAGTACGGGTGTTCGTAACTCGGAGACTGCTTGTAGAAATGTCTGGATTCCCCTTTAAAATTCACCTGTTTGCAGAATGGGTACCTAACTTATACAGGAGGGGAAGAGCTACAAGGTTTATGAGACTTTCTTCTGCAATTTCATCCCTTGGAAAATTATTCTCATACTGTATTGTTTACATAAAATAATCCACAGGATAAATGTGAAATAACTGTTGCAACTGAATTTATTACAAATAATTCTTACCAAGATTATCAATGGAAAGACAATTTATAAATCTTTGTTCAGTATCTTAAGATTTTAAAAAGCTGAAAATAAAACTATCTGCTATTGATGTGAGGAATAGAATGTTATGTGGTAGACAGGTTTTACATGTTCAGTTCCATATTCTGAACAATTGAGTAAGTTCACCTTTGGGTCATAACCTAAACACAAGTACTGTACAACACTAATAACGTTCCTGTTTATGTTGCTGAAAATAAAGTGGTATCTGAGCAGCAGCAAACCCACACTCTACTGACTATATTGTATCCAGTACTGTACTGTACACTATTATGAAACCTATTCTGAGGGACAATTTCTTTATCACAATTGCCTGGCATCACCTTTATACTGCTGAAGCATCCCAAGTCTTACATAATAAGTTAGACACAAGTATTCTAATTTTTCTTAATCATATCTCTTAAGTGTTGCATCATTCCCATTAACTACACCAATTAAGTAGCATTGGTACAGTACTTAATACAGTACAGTATTCTGGGGATGAATACAGTTAATTTCTGTATCTTCAACCATTAGCTGGCTTTCATATGGCAAAGTGCATACTGTACATGAATAGTTCCCATAAATGAAAAATATCCTTCGAGCATTAAGCATTATATAAACTGCTTTGCTTTCTCTTGTAAAATATGAATAAAACTGTATCTTACCATCATGACTAGCAGTCGAGTCCCGATCACTTGACAGCCTCACACCTGAGTCTGCAGATGACCCACGACCATTTGGAGTGGGTGTTGGGGTGGAGAGAGGCAAAGGTGAACACGCGGGTGTGGAAGCCGTAGGTGTGGTTAGTCCGTTGGTCCTGACAGACTCTGCATCACTGTAGTATCCCACAGAGGAGAGCTGCTTACGGACCTGTCAGGTAGTTTGTGATTGGAGGACCGTTACAAATATTGATACCTCACGTGTACAATGTCATCTTATATTGTAGTCTTTGGGAATTCAGAAAACTCCACAGGTCTTCAAGGTGAGAAAAAATAATTATTTATATATTTACGGAATAATAATTCAATTGCAAGCATTTATAACACAAAATATACATCAATATATAACTGTATTTCTTGTGCATAAACAGCCTCTTAAATTAGGTAAAAAACTCATAAAATTTGGCGATTAATTTTGCACAATCCAAGAACAGCATAAGACACTTTTAATACGAAATCTACGACAGCTAAAAGTAATTTTGATGTATTCCACTCCACATTCATACCATTTCAAGTTCTTCTTGAAGTTTCTTAACAGTAGCTTCCTTGAGCCCCAGCTGGGCCGAGAGTTTAACGACTCTCTCTGATTCATCCCTAGCATGCTTCAAGATGTTCCATTTTTCTCGTTCTGTTTCATCTCGCTCTGCTGCAAGGTGGCGCAGTGACTCATCACTCTCCTTCATGCGCTGATGAGATTAAACAATTATTAAAATAAATACTGAAGTGAAAGAATTTCTATTCTCCATTCCCAGTTCTGTATTAAGTGTATAGTCTGAGGTGAAGGAAGAGAGAGACCGGGAGACCAGTAAAGAGTGTAAGAGTGTAGACTGCATAGGTAAAAATTATCTCAGGAACAGTGTATGGATCATAAGATTTGGGTAATGTGATGAGATTTTAATTGTGCCACCCTGCGAGACAGTGAGTACAGTACTGTAATGGCAAATTGATATTACTGTACCTTAATACAGCAGTTTACTGAATTAATCATATATGCAATTGTGACATTCTTAATGTTTCTTCTTTGGTAATATACTTGTGAAACTGTACAGTACAATATTATAAAACAATTACCATAACCCAAATGAAAATATTATGAAATAATCACATTTCAATACAACTTAAATTTAGTCAAGTAATTTCCTCTTCTCACGTTTAAATAATATATTAACATCACGTTTAAATAATATATTGACATCACGCTTGCATATTTGGTAATCTGTAACCTTACTCAATACACAATCTGCCATTGATAAAGATTTCATCCATATTCCTAAGCAGCTAATATTACTGAACAATGGATTAAAAACGGTAACATCCCAGTCCATCTACTCTCATTTCATCTACTTTCCATTAAGTTTGGCTTGGTCATCATTAACTGACAGTAGACATTCTGGGACTAAGTGATATTTTCAGAGTAGACGTAATGGAGTAGACGAAGCACGGTAACACCCCACACCTGCCAAGTACCACAACAGGTGACCAGCAACAACATCTTACCTGCTCATAATTCCGAATGAAGTCTCTTAATTCCTTCTCTTTATCCTCTAGTGTGGCATACAGCTGCTTCATCTGGTTCAACAAGTCAAACTTCTCAGCTTTCAAACGTTTTCTGTCTGCTTTTAAGGCTGAAAGAAAAACAATATGGCATGTTATTATAGAAATCGTCTTATAGAGTACTGTTAAATTCATTATTTACTAGAAAAATATGTTTAACATTTGGTAATATTGACGTACATAAATAAATAAATAAATAAATAAATAAATAAATAAATAAAATATACTGTACGCAACTAATTCGGTCACACTTTATTAAAATTCTTAAACATTTATGGGTATTTATGTAATGGCGTAAGGTGATAAAACTTAACTTAGACTCTAGAAAAACTTGTACAGTAGTTACCTGAAAGAGCCTCCTTAGCATGTGTCAGTTCTATCGTCATTTCATTTATCCTTGGCTTAAGTTGAAGGTCCTCCTCGACGATAGTTTCCTTCACCCTCCGCAGCTCCTCCACCTCACTCTGTAATGACCGGTTCCTGGCGGAGAGCTTCTCGTTCTCCAGCCGTAGTTGTGACAGCTCCTCCGCCAGCTGGTTACTCGAACTCTCACTGTGATCTGTGGACAAACAATAATACAGTACTGTACTCTCAATATAGTCCCATATAACAATAAGATCACACTGTATTTACACATAAATTTCAGAATTAATCAGTATTTAGTCTAAAGATAAACATGATACTGTATTGTACATACAGGATATATGCAGGCTAAAATGACTGTATCCACCAAGAAACTTACGGATAACCCATCATTTTAAGGAACAAATGTACTTCTCTCAAGGAAGATTAACATGCGAAAGTTTAGCTATATATTTACACAGTTTAAGAAAGAGAATAAATTCGTCACGTATATTAGGTTTAAATCTCAATTCGCAGCTGATTTTGTTGTTGTGGAGGGAAGAACAGTCAACCCATCACATACTACAGATTGATGGATAAGTAATTCTGCACCTGCGGTCACGATATTTGTCTCTGGATACACGATTAGTACAGTGGCACTAAACCATCCCCCAAAAGACGACAAAGTACTGGACTGTCAGTTTGTATCGTTGCTGTCAAACTATATATTATATATTTATACTGAATAGATCTATCAGTTATGAGGTGATTAGAAAGTCTCGAGGTCTGGTGAGGGCCACAGGACGAAAATGGAATACCTGGAGAAAACCTGCATGCCCAGTACTTGCCAACAGTGTGTAACTGAGACGTGACCGATCGCCCAAGCGGCTAACGAGCCGATCAGTGGTGAAGATGATAAAAGTAAAAGTAACAAAGAAGCGTCACACAGGACAACACCCTCCTCACAGCCGACCCAAGACGGTTTCGACCCCGAGTCACAGAAATGAAAGGCAAACTCTGCACCACAGACCTCTCCCAGTTGGTTACCTCGCCATTTTTCATCGAATATATCTAAACCAGTTTCAAAGTGATGTAAAAAAAAATATATCCCCATAAAACTAACCATCTGTTTGTTCATATAAAAACAGGAGTTGCATAAGACTTGTATTAGACCCAAACTAGTTTGCCGGGGTTTTTGCTTGGATTTACAGATTTGTTTAACAAAGTGAGCAGATTTATATTAAAACAATCAGTTATATCCAAATATTGTTTTACATATTCTACGAATGCATATGCAGTATGTACTGGTTGTAAAATGATGTGCACATCTCGTTAAAACTGTAAAGAGCATTATCGAAGCGTGTGTCTTAGGATTATGATGCTACCGGATTCACTGAAGGTGAGGTGATAATATATCTTATATTACACAGTATAGACCCCGACAACATGATCTACCTGAGTTTGCAGTAACGAAGCCACTAAGAGCACCAGCTGACGACCGCCTCACGACCAACTGTCGCCAACTCTCCTTCACTTCCGTCACTTCTATTCCTCCATCTTCACATCTTTCGCTTCCATTTTCATCATCATCATCTCCTTCACACTCCTCTACTAATGTGTTGTCGAGTAAGTGATTAACATGGGAATATTCTCTATGTCTCTCGTTCTGTTGTCTCGGTGAAGAGCAGTTGCTACTACCCACATCTTCTCTTCTCTCGCTGTGTAAAACCTGTTCACTCGTCGACGTTGTGTAGTCATTGATGATCATGTGTATTTCACTGACTAGTGTATCTTCAGCAATGAGAGTTTTATGGGAACAGATGCCGCACTGTGAGTATTCCGACGCCACGACATTTGACACATCGTCCTCCAGCCCCGCGCCGAAACGTAGGTAGGTTATATTGTGGTTTCCTCCGATGACCGTGGCCACGTCAACACTAGGCTGCCGTCTGATTGGTTCTTTACTGTCATTAGTACTTGTATGGCTGTCACTACTGTTTAAAAGACACTCTTCGATCTTTTCTATCTTATCCTCGTACGGTTCAAGACACAGTTGAATCCCTTCCTCTTTTTGTCTTTCAGCATCGATATCGGTCACGTTCACAGCACTGCCGATAGTCATGCCCTCTTCATCATCGCTGGAGTTGTATTTATCTATTATAATCTTAGGTTTGATCAACTCAGAGCCGTAGTCTGAATCTATCTTGTGATGTTTACCGGATTCCTCTAGTATGGTACCGAGTCGCCAGTCCCCGGCGTTAGTTGCTGTGTACACGACTGGGCGGTCACTGTCCACGTCATCATCATCCAGCGGATTTATGGTTCTGTTGAGTGGTGTTAGGATGGGGAAGTCTCCCTCCTCCTGTAGTTCTAAAAGGAGGGACTGAATGACTCTGGTGGACTGTGCGGGGATGTAATGGTCTGTCTGCTTGTTGTTCCTCGTGCAGGAGTCCGACGTCAGGAGGTCTGAGGGTTGCCCTGGGAGTTCGTTATTTTTAGGTTCATCTATACAGGTTTCTAGATAGAGTGGTTTCTCGTTATCGTTATCTACATCCTTGTTCTTCGTTGTGTCGTTAATCTCCTGTGAAGTCTCCACGTACGGCTGACTGGAGGTATCACTGTCTCCGTCCTTCCAAGTGTCGTGTATATGCAATCTGAAAGTCTCCGCTAGACCCAAACTGCTTCTCGGACAGAAAGACTTGATGTTTGCACATCTCACCTTCCGCCTGGCTTCTGGGCATGACTTGACAGATAGCTCGCTGTCTATGGAACCTATACTTTGTCTGGATACTGTGGGATCGATGTCAACCGATTTTGCTGTTTCCAAGTAAGATGGGCTAGAGATGTCGAATTCTGAATCCAAACAACTTACTGACAGCCTCTGGACGTTGTCACATCCTCCTCCCGGATCAGTGAGGATGTCCAGGTCACTGAGGGTTGGACTGCTCACCCTGCTAGGCTTCAGTTCATGGGAAACTGCATAAAATCCGACACTGTTTCCCATCCTGAATGATAATGAGGACTAACTTTCCGAGGAAGTCGTTTAACCAGAAATTGCCAAATACAAAAATTTTAAAGCTAAAATTTTCAAATCAAATATATTAAATTTTCCACTAAATACTATCGTCTGCATTGTCTTGAAAACCAAACTAAGATAAAAATTCATCAACATAAAAATTATTTCTCATCTTGATTTTTCTATCTACTGAATATTCATTAAATGTCGGTATTGTTGTAGCTAGCGGCCAGACCTTGGTGACGCCTCATATCAAATTCAACTTTCTCCTCTTCCTGAACACAAAAATACCATGAGTGCTGTTGACGTACCCAGAGTCACACCGAAACTAACACTTATCATCACTTTCCACAACTGGTATTGGTTTACTCGGGTCCTGGATATGGAAACTTCTGATAACATCATATTCCTGTAAGTTGTCCAGATCCTAGTTCACAAGAAAAAACATTCTTAGATATTTTCAACTTCCAGCAACCAAACTGTTTGTAATTTTCACGTGAATGGGCATAATGACCATTTGCACTTTTTGCTTGTGTACCTTAGTCCAGCACCAATAATAGACTTGGGATCTTCAGGTCTTCACACAGTAACAAATTAAACTGACACTCTATCCTTGTTATCTTGTAGTATATGTATCCCCCTCCTGAACGGGCAACCCCCAACCATCACGAGATAGAGGCAGAGACAACTGGCGATGGCGACAGGGCTGGAGGTAGTGGTGTGGCAGCAGAGAACCCAGCAGAGCTCCTGTGGTCGACACCTGAGCTGGTCTGAGGTCACGTCTCTCCCATCAAACCCGTCCTTCAGGCCCACTCATGAGAAGTAATTGAAGGAGATGTCACACTTCAATAACATTTCCTCTACACAAAGATAAGAGCTTAGTTAATGATCAGGTTATAAGTGTTTTATCACGTGGAAGAGTCCAGTGTGTAAGTGATACCGCTTTGGTGAACTGCTGTGTGGTCAAGACTCTTCCCGGTGTGGGGCATAATGAAGGTTTTCACATTGGCTGGTTATTTTAACTCATGACTACACATCCACTAGTTAAAATTAATAGTGTCAGAGGTTACTTCACTTATTATTACAATATCTGATTGCTGATATATACAGTAGTCACATATAAAAGTCCTTTCGCCTCTCCTGAACCACGAACCCTGCATGACTCGCAAACCCGAAGCAGTAAACACTGATGATGCTTCAGATTCTCGAGTCTGAATCTCAGAGTTTGTGTTTCAAGAGGGGGAGGCGACAAGAAGTGGGTGACTGTACAGGTAATTTAAATTTCATAAATTTTAAGAATTTTTTGTAACCGAAATTTATGGTAATTTACTATATACTCAATAAATTTTATATCATTAGTAATATGTTTTCACTTTATTTAGAGAGTTTGGTGTACAGAATTAAACTTCCCGCCAACCCAAACTGAATCTGCCATAACTCTCAAAGTTCCCCAGTCCGTCACGTTGCTAGATGACCCTCCACGGATTATCTGCGACAGGAATAATATCCATCCTGTGTCCTGGCTCTTAACAAATGTTATTTTCGTATATCCCGAGACAGATACTTTTACTTTTCCTCTTCGCCACTGATCGGCCCGTTAGCCGTTTGGGCGGTTGGTCACGTCACTGTTACATACTGTTGGCAAGTGCCGGGCATGCACTGGCTCATGAATATATCAGAACCTGCTCCAGTGTTGGTCAAGTCTTGCCTTCAATAAGCTCACACTTGGTGCCGTCCCAACACTCTCTGGCAGATTGTGTCGTTGAAGGTATATGGAAGGGTTTTGGCAGAGGTCTCCAGCCTGTTGTAGGCTCTGGGCCACATTAATCATTGTAAATATAGTGGAGGGCATCAAAATTTTGGATACTTTTTACATTTACTCTTAGCGTGTGTGAGAAGGCTGGCTCTCTCTCTGGGCCCTGTCTGGGGTAAACACACACGTCCTGTACACGACAGTTGTATCAAGTTATTACATTTTTCATTAATTTCACTCAAACAAATAATCCCAAATAATTGACAATTTTCTAATAAATCTTTACGGGTTCTATAATATGGCTCCCGGCGAACTACAGGTTGGGGACCACTTGCCTATGGTAACATCGGCAATTATCTGAGCACGATGAAAATTAAATGTACTTAACCTCACCGCACGTATATTACAGAATTGTCAGTAATATTCCCTCACACTATTTTATCAGTTT